CATGTGATGTGCTGCCTCTGCGTGTGTCTGTGTGTGAAACCTCCCAAGCAGTATTTCTTAAGCCTTCATGGTAGATGCATTTCACTTAAAAGAGTGTTTACTTCTGGAGAAGTGCCCAGGGATATACTAGATGTGTGGAGCTCTCTAGTAGTGATTGCCTGCTTGAATTCTGCCTAGTTCCCACACAGCAGTTCTTGCAGGGCTCCTGTGACTCCAGTGGTAAGTGATCTCAGGGCTGTTTCCAGCGCACAAGCACCCAGCCAAGCAGCAAAGCAGGCATGGAAAACAGACTGACCCTGCCTTACTCGCCCTGCACCTGCGCTGCTGCACTGCCTCTGGGGACCAGCTGCACACCAAGGTTCCCCAGCGCTGCAGGAACAGACACTGCAGCAATGGACTGCATGTCATACATTTAGAAGACAAGAAAATAAAAAATAACCTGCTGAAATTGCAGGAGCAGACGACATTTCTGCTCTGTGTTTTCACATGGTAACATCTATCTTTGCTTTCATCAGCAAATGTATTTCCTTTGTGAAAAACGGCTGCTGTACTTTTATTCCTTCCTTTTGTGGTTGAAACAAGAAGCCACTAAGAGAGGAAAAGCCAGCAACCAAGCACTAACCACCCAGCAAAAATTCACTGCCTGAAGTGACACTTGTTACTGAAGCTTCTGCTTATATATAGATGGCTTTTTGAGAGGGCTCTCTCAACAATCATCCCTTTCTAGGGGGTTTGCTGAGGATGCTGCTGCTGCTGCTCTGCCTTTGGGAGAGGGTGAACACAAAGGTGGTGTCTGGGGAGTGATGTCCACCAAAGCACTTGTGTATGAGCTACAGATTTGACACGTGGAGAGGAAAACTGCTCAAGTCTCCCAGGTACTTCAGCTGGGGTCTCTCTAAGACCAACAGAAGATTGAAAACAGTGCCACTATGTGTTGTCATGATCTTCACAAACTGAGTTTCTCTTCCATAAGGAATGGCAGCAAGAATCATAGAATCATTAAGTCTAGAAAAGATCTCTAGGATCATTGAGTCCAACTGTTAACCCAGCACTGCCATCTTCACCACTAAACCATGTCCCCAGGTGCCATAACTGCATCTTTTTGAACACTTCCAGGGATGGTGACTCCACCACTTCCTTGAGCAGCCTGTTCCAATGCTTAGAAACACTTTCCATGAAGAAACTCTTCCTAAAATCCAGTCCAAACCTCTCCTGGCATAACCTGAGGCCATCTCCTCTTGTCCTGTCTCTTCTTATATGGAAGAAGCAACTTACCCCTGCCTTGCTACAATCTCCTTTCAAGCAGTTGTAAAGACTGATAAGACCCCTCCTGTTCTCCAGGCTAAACAACCCCAGATGTCTCAGCCACTACTCATATGTGAAAGAAACTCCCATATGCACAACCATTCTCTGACATTTCACTGAATAACCTGCAATATTAGGAAATTTTGCTCAGACACTGCAAGAATTTAAAGAGGAAACTAAAAAGCTCTATGGCCCTAATCAAGCAAAGGATTGAAAAAGACACAAGTTCCATACCTTCTGAATTTTATCGGGGTGATCATGTGCATATGGCATTTGGTCATGAAGGTTGCTACACTGAAACTCTATTACTACTTTCCAAAAATCAGAATCAAGATTCCTTATTTTAAACTAATTTTCCTTAAAGCTATCATATTGCTATACTCAAGCTGAGCCTGTGATACAAAGGGAAAAAACACAAACTGTATGATATTATTATGGGTTTTATAAAGTTGTATAGGCAGGCAACTTACCAGCATAATCCTCTTAGCATAAAGAAGAAGAAATAAGAGAGAGAAAGAGTTAGGATTTAGTTTTTCCAGGTACAATGTACAAATGTCATGGCAAACCAAGCAAAATAAAACATGCATGTTTCTCTCAAAGATTGATTTGAATTAAGGGGGAAGCACAGGATTCAGTTATTGTACAATTAGCGTTCTAAACAAATAGGATTTTTGAGGAAGTAGTAAAGGGAAAATTCCTAAATTACATCATCACTTATTTGAGAAATAATATAACTGAAAGAAATTTGATAAAATACATACATATTTTTTAAAAGTAATTAAAATTGAAGTGCAGCAAGCTGGAAATTGTTTTCCTTAAAACCTGGCAATAGTTAAAAAAAACCAAAAACAGTTGTTTTTCTTTAAGTAAGCTCTTTTTAAAAAAGAGTTTTTCCTTAAGTACTATGCAATACATGAAAAACTCTTAAATCAAGAAATAGCTGCAAGCAGCTTGAATACAGTTGTGACAGCGGGACTCTGTGACCTTCCCTTTGCAGGAGTTAAGAATTCACTAGTCACCAGCACGTAAAAAGTCCCTTATTTCTTATTCTGTAACCTGGAAGTGATATGCCATAGCTTGATCTTTCATTTTCCAGTTTGCTTAAGATATGACTCAAAAGTTACTTTGTTCTCTCCATCTCTACCTGCCTTTTATAAGTTCTGTTCTCAAAATGGAAGGGCTCCAAACAAATAGCACAACCAACTATTAATAAAAACGCCCCAAAAATGTATTTGCAAGCACACTTCAAAAAGGTTATGCGTGCAAGTTGTTGAGTGCACAAGGCAGGCCAAGAGAGCAAATGAGGAATGCTGGCTTTCAGCACTGCCACTGGGAAACACTCCATGATCATCTGGCTTGTCACTTCAGGGACACTTCAGAACTGACACTGGAAAGCTGAGGGCAATAGAACTGGTTATGTGCCTATTTGATGTGGATTAAAACTTCCTCCTTGCAACCAGGTATCACCAGAGTCATGGGGTACTGAAACCTCAAAATGCAAGCCAGCAGCTGATGGGTTTTTGTTGCATCTTAAAGATTCCCCCAAGTCCAGTGTCTTGCCTTCTCAATATATATCCCCAGCCACATTCACCCAAAACTGTGGGAGGCCAGAGGGAGATGGGCACAGCTCCATGGTTCTGGCTCACTCATTTCTGAAATCCTGAGGGAGAACTTCAATGCCATCCTCCCAGCCACACCCTGTCCTAATGATTCCCTATTGCCACATGCAACAGATGAGGAACCATAAATATGGGAGAACGAGCAAGAGGAGGCTCAGTTGCTGCTCATACATGGTAAAACTGTGTCCAGGGAGTATATTTTGCCTCTCTGGATCATCACATCTCTTCAGGTATGTGCAAAAAGCTTCAATGGGCACATATTGACAGCTGAAGAAAACAGGTTTTAAGATAGATTTATGAGGGTGATCTGGGTTTCAACACTTTGGATTGCAAGTTTTTATTGATACCACTACAGTATTTTTATTTATTCTTAGCTTTTAAAATATATCATGAAGGTGCAATTCATATCCATAGTACATTTTCCACTTGTTTACTACTTGGTAGGTTTTACTTCTGACTGAAGTTTAGGAATTGGTGTGTATCTTGAACACCAAGTTAAAATCAAATAACAGAGGAAGTTGAAGCATTATTTTTCCAGTACCATTATTATCCCCAAGCTCATCATTAAATAAGAGTAGTTACTTTTCCATTAAGGGAGCAGAGAACACTACCTAATCCATAACAACCACCATTCCTCTTCTTTCACCTCCAGTCTCAGCTGGCTCTTTATTAAATGTATTCAGAGAGAGAGAGCTAATATGCCTGACAGTGCATTTCTGAGCACAGCATTCAGAAAAGCATGATATCTCACATTTATCTCTCTGTCTCTTACACACACTGCACTATAGCATTCCAATCCCATTTATAGCCTTCTTGGTATGTCATGCTCTTTGAGGATATGCTTTTGTGCATTAAAAGAACTGCAGAAAAAATTACAGAACTAAATTTCTTTAAACATATAAGTTCCCCTTACTGAAGCCTCCTTAATAAAAAAACCTCAGGAGTTTGAGAGAAACTTCCCCTTCACCACCTGAAGTTTAATTAAATGCTGAAACCCATCACCTCAAAGAGAGAGACATATGCACAAGGACAGCAAAAACCTTCATTCTCCTACTCTGTGCCTGCAAGATGAAAGAGACTTGGAAGAGTCATGTAAAAGTTTCTGCGCAAGTTTACAGAAATTTTTCCTGGTATTTTACTAATTACTGTGCCTTCAGACATTCAATTAAACAAGTGGAATACAGATTAGCACGCTGGTTTCAAATCACACAAAAGCACACCTTCCTCCCACAAACAAAGCACACAGGGTTGGTTAGCTGTCTCTATCTTTGCAAAGCATCCTTCACTGCTTCTCTGAGTGCAATCAGAGACCACAGTGTGTATGAAAACCATTTCACACATATCACAGCATGCAAAAAGTTGTGCTGTTTAAGCAGCAGCCACAAGCTGGCCCCATGAGAGAACCAGTGCTGACAACCTGAGCTGATCTCTTGTCTCTCTGCCTGGGTTACTCCCCCAGCTCCTCCGGCATCTCATCCCTGCCCAAGTCCTGCCCTCACATCCTGGAGAGCCTGGGCTGGGAAACACCTTCCCAGCTGGGGCTTCAAGGTAAATCAGAATGGGGGAGAGGAGACACAGAGCTGACAGCTGAGCCTAGGAAGCTGGAAGGAGAGCAGCACACCCACCCCTCAGGGCAGACCACCATCAGCCACGTAAGGCACTCCTACAGCTCCAGGGAGAGACTGCCCAACCTGCCCTCCCAGGATGCTCTGCAGGGAAGCCTGGCTAGCTAACCTTCCCTGCTGCATTTGGGAAGGTAGAGCTTAGTTAGCTAGCTCTACCTTCTAGAGCTAGAGAACAGCAGAAACGATGAATCGGTGCTTAAAAATCATACAGCGCTTATTCCTTTTTTAAAAAAACAAAACCAAAACCCAAAGAAACAAACAAAAAACCCCACTCAAACCCAAAACAAAACAAACTCCAACCAAACCACAAAGATCACAACAAAAGCCTCAGAAAAAGCTTAAGGGAAACAAAATTGCAGGTGCTCCACAGATAAGATAAAAATTATTCTTACAACTTACTGAAATCAACTAATACTGATTGACAAGGGAACCAGTTTGCAGAGTCACTCACCCGGAAAAGTCTGTAGTGAGAATGCCATAATGAAATATGTATATTCGGCTTATGTGGCACAGTGTGAGGTATCCCATGGCTACGACAAAGGAGTACCTAAAAACAGAACACACAGAACACACAGTTACCAACAAAAACTAGAATCACTCAAATTGGGTTGGGCTAGTTTCGATTTTTTCAAATCAGATTGTTAAAAAGTCTGGAGCTATGCTACGAGACCTGGAAGAAATTCTCAAAGGGGGCTGATGGTTTTGTGTACCCAGCTGAAACCTTACAGAGGTGTCTCCTCATTCAGGGGGTACAGAAAAAATGGAAGAAGAAATAGGATCAATTCAAGTTGCAAAACTGAATTTTCAAAGCTCCCATCTTCACATATTATTTTGAAATTTCTGGTCCAACTTAAGTATTTGAAACCAGCTGATACTGTATGTCATTCACTGAAGTTATCCACTGCATTTTGGTCTGTAAACGTTGTTTATTTACAACTCTTCCTCAGATCTAGCAAAGACTGAAATATTTCAAGCTTGAGGTATTCTCTCTCTCATAATTTTATATAAAGGTAGATGATGGCACATAGCTCAATCTTTTCAGCTCTCCATACTGAAGCACACCATCTTCCAGAAAAATCATAGAATCAGATAGTCTGGAAAGGACCTAGAAGATTATAGTACTTGAATATCTGTATATAGACCTTGCCCTGATCCTAGTTGTTCTAAATGGGCTGCAGCTGTGATGTCCTTCATTGGGTGGCAGCTGTGGCTAATGAAGATAACTGGGATAAAAGGGGAGTGGGTTGGTCAGTCTGGGAGAGGCTTGGAGGAGCTCTGATGAAGAAGCAGGATCAGCACTGCTGTGAAGAGCTGCTTGTGAGAAAACCACCCAGAAGGTATGAGACTCTAGAAATATGATAACAACCATATGATAATAACAGAAGATCACTTCAGAAGCATTCCTTGGGTAGGATGTGATAAATTCATTCTGTGTTTCAAGATGGTAGCACACTTCTGTTGGGCAGGGCAGTAGCATGGTTCTACCTTAACAGCTGAACAGTCTGAAGACTAAAAACATTGCAGTGTCTACATGGGCAGATGCAGACTTTCATACAAGTAACTGCTGCCTGTATTTACATGAGCAAGAGGATTCTGGGGAGAAAGGAACTGGATGGATGTTTGGAGACAGACTGACACATGAAGCAAATTACACCATGCAATGGAGAGCTGGGACACCAGAATGAAAGGCTGGCCCCACAGGGACAGGCCAGGACCAGGTCTGCTGGTGTCCTCCATAGCTGAGGTTATTATTCTGTGGTATCCATGCATTGCAGAAGAGGCAAGGACCAACAGACTGCAGAAGGAGATGGCACATCCTGCCTGCCTGGTAGGGCTGAGCCTTGGGGGCTGGTCAGCACACATTGCCAAGAAGGGTCCTCCACAGACCCATGAGAGCACCCACCACAGGGAAGAGCTAAAGGTGAAATCAAACAAAAGGAGACAGCAGACAGCTGAAAAAGAGCCAGGCCTTTGTCAAATTATGGCTGGTTTTAAAAGAAATGAGTTTTTCCTCCCTGGGGGCTAATAAGCTGCAGTGTGAGTGACAGTGATGGATCACAAGGCAACCTGCAGGTCATGTGGCCCACAGCAAACAGCTGGATGAAAGGGAGACTGAAGGGATGTGACAGATTCTTTAGGAGATTCAGAATAGAATTTATGGTATTTTATCTGGGTCAGGCATCCAGTCCTGCCTCAGCAAGGTCTTTGGGTTCCCCTCTCATCAAGGGAGAATAGCAAGCATCCATCCAAAGGCGAGTCAGACATGTAACAGCGAGAGACAGGATGAAGGATCTAAAATAAGCCCCCATGCTGAGGTGCAAAGCACTTAGACTGAAACAGGGGGCAAGCAGGGAGAGATACACTGAGCTGCTGCTGCAGCTGGGAGCATTTCTGATGCTGGATTAATTCATCCATTTATAGGCCTTGAAGGCTAGCAGCTACACCAGAGAGAAAACTAGCAAAAAATAACCATGGAAAATAGAATGAAAGTTAAATTATGCAGTTGATTTAATTTGTTCTCTTCCACTGCATTTTTATGGGGGAATAAAGAGCCAAGTCTTGAAGCCCCACTCTGAGGGATCTGTTCCCCTGTACAAACAGGTCGAGACCTCAAAGTGGCCTTGTTCAAGTTTCTGTCATCTGGTTTGAAAACATTGTTACTTTGCCAAAATTAACAATGTGGCTGCACTTTGAGTCACACTGATATGGCTGGTAGAACCCAACAGAAAAGTCCTAACCCAATCCTCCCTCAGAACTCCTGAGGTTTTTCAGCAGGTTGGATGGACATTTCACATTGACTCAAATCAACACTTGACTGTCTTGCAGCAGCAAGTGATGTTATATGAACTGGCTTGATCTGTTTCAGTATAAAGCTGTTTTGCTGTTACCCACTGTGGCTAATTGGCTAAAGAGGAAGAGTGAGGGGGTTTCCCATGGAAGCTGTGTCCTTTTCCTTATCACCACCCCACCTTGTCTGGGAAGATGTAAATAACTAGTGGATGATTCCTTTGTACACTTGGTTCTTATGATCTACAGCCACTAACTCCTGCATTTCCCTCAATGACAGGCAGGGACAATGACCAGGAAACCATAAAACAAATTTGTAACACCTTTTTATTTTGGTCTCTGGATGGCATTTCTTTAACAAACATTGTCCAATTGCCTTTCTTTTTTATGACATTATTAATTATCTCTAGACTTCTGGGCTTTACACTGTGTGAGAGGGTAGAAAAAAATACCTCATTAATGCCCTATCTTGCTGGTGCAAAATGCAAGTAACTGCTATAGACAGAATTGCTTTTTACAGTTCACATTTGTGAATAATATTAGGAAAATTTTAAGTAGGGTTCCCATTCAGATATTAGAAAGGGGTCTCTTCAGGAAAAAAAGGAAGGTGAGAGGATTATCAGACCATCAGATTCTCAGACAGCCCTGGCCTTGAAGGCAAGTGTAGAAAGGGTTTCCATTCCCCAGCCCAGATTTATGTGGATTCTGAGCATTCAGGAGCAGCTGCAGAGACAGAAAACACCTGTCACACACCCAAACCATAAGCTTCTGCTTTAAGCAATAACAGTTCTGGTATTTTCTACTTTTTCACAAAGCCCAGTACCAAAAGCAAGACCTCATTTTGTGGATCACTAAGCTAAGCTGCATCAGTGACCTTATTTGAACAACCTAACTCAAGAATAAGTGGAAAATACCTAAAGGCCAAACAGCAATGGGGAAAACACATTAAAAAGGATTATAAATTGCAATCTGGAAGAATACAAGACCAAGAAGAACATGACTTCATTATGGTTTAGAAATCAAAGGTTTGTCCATAAATTATTATGCCTGCAAAAGTCAAATTTTGAGGCCAGCAATTTCATAGGAAAATGCAATACATCAACCCAAAAAACCCACAAATTGAGATTACAGCTGCTTCTGTAACTCCATGAACAAAGCTTCTGCAACTGGGAAAGAAAAGAAGGGAAGGAAAGAAGAAAAGGTGGTTCTAAAAACTGCTCATGATTCTCCCTGAAAGCAGAGAAGTTATCAGAGGGGCAGCTGTAGACTTGCAGCCACATCAGCTCACCTGTGGATGTTGGGAATACTCGCCATGTTCATAATGCCATAGTTCATCATCACCAGGACAAAAAGATGAATGGAATACCTTGAAGACAACAAAGTGAGTATTTAGATAATTTCTATTTTACCTGGAAGTGCTGGCAGTTCAGAGCAAGAGAATATTTTTCCACGCAAACGACATCAATGTGCTGTCATATCAGGCTACCAGTGAACCTGGATTACCACAGGACATCTTTATAGCCTGACTATCCAACACAGACATACTTATTAAAAAGATATTATCCATATGTTTAACTGAAAGAGTAGCCTGGCTCAAAGTGCACATTCAAGTTGGATACATCTTTTCCAGAAGAGGTATCTTCACAGCAGACTGGTGTGGCCTTAACTTCCAGAACAAACATCACAAATTAAATTAAATACTTCACTTTAAAAATAATTTTATGAGTCACTCTACTTTGAGGGTTTGGAATGGTTATGTTGGTTAGGATATTTTTTTAAGGTAGCATTAAGAGCCTTCAGATTAAAAAGATGTAATCCAAAAGAGCTGATGTGAAGTTTAAAATTTTTTTTACCCAAGTCTTGTCTAAATGGTGACTGAATACTCACCACCCAAAGCAAAAGACAGCAAAGTATATTCCAAAGAGGGTGGCAAATGCGTGGCGAACAGCAGAGCTGGCATGACTGGGACTCAAGTAAATACGAAACCAAAACGCAGCCAAGAGTGCAAACAGTTGACAGGCTACAAAATTGATCTGTAAAAGACAAGCAAAACAAAAAACTGTTTTGATTCTTGGAGGAGGAGGGGGGGAGGATTCTCTCTGTTTTCAGAACAATTAAGAGCAGAGGTAAAAAAAGGGGGGGAATCATCAGAGCTAGGAATCTTTCCTTTCTCAGCATTCTCACTTGTGAACTCATGTGGTAACTTTTCTTGGGCAGTGACAGAAGGGATTAAACAGGCACATGTGACAGCCAGGAGCTGTCAGAAACATGGCCTTTGAGCAAGGAGCTGGGGGTGTTGTACATGGCCTTTGAGTCATGGGGAAATGTATGTATTGTACTTGAATATCTGTATAGTACTTGAATATCTGTAAGTAAAAAGAAAAGGGGGAAATATAGTAGGAGTCCTAGTAAAATATCTGTATTGTATAAGTGGCCTTGCCCCGATCCTAGTTGTTCTAAATGGGCTGCAGCTGTGATGTCCTTAATTGGGTGGCAGCTGTGGCTAATGAAGATAACTGGGATAAAAGTGGGGTGGGTTGGTGGGTCAGGGAGAGCCTTAGAAGAGTCCTGATGAAGAAGCAGGAGCAACACTGCTGTGAAGAGCTGCTGTGAGAAGGTATGGGACTCTAGAAATATGCTAACAACAATATGAATGCAACAGGCACACAGCCTGAAGCAGAAGCAGATGAGGAAGGTCAGGGTACAGCTGGGCTCTGGTGGTTCTCACTCTCCTTGGAGGAAGGCTCTGCTCTGCTGCCAGCCTGGCCCAGGTACAGGGCACATCATTCCCCTTCTCAGGCCTCTTGGCAAGGGGCAGGGGCCAGGAAGCAGCCTGGGACTGAAATATTACCCCAGTACCTGACTGTCCCCCACCCCAGCACAAGGGCAAAACCAACAATGCTGATGTGACGCTGCTCACTAGCAGTGAGAACCGGGCAGCCACCCTAGCTGAATTCCTCCATTCCACAGCATCTTCCACACAGGCCTTCCAATTCTCCATTGTTTTGTGGTTTGAATGCAAACAACTTTGCTCTGCCATCAAGCAGACTCCTAGAGGAATATGCTTCTCAAATGTTCTTTGATTACTGCAAGTGAAAATCAGTCTGGCCTTGCTGCAAGGAGGGATGGATGGCAGTGGGAGCACAAGAGATGCAGAGGGCAAACAGGACAGGAGTAGAGGCTGCTCTTGTCAGACACAAGGACAAGCAAGAGCTTCAGTGTCCTCCAGAGCAAAACTGACATCACGCTGCCTTCTTCAAGTCACCTTCTCTTTGACAGCCTCAGCAAAAATCCCAGAAGTCAGAGGAAAAACAGATCAAAGTCACAGTCAAAACAGAGCCAGGAGCTGTCTCTAACAGAGCAAATACACCACTGGGATACAACATCCTTAAGTCCAGCCTGGACCCTGGACAGCTGGAGGTAAATTCATTTATTCAGTCACAGTGTCACAGTTCTTTTTTTTTTTTTTTCTTTTTAATCTTCTGGGTTTTTTTTAAATTCACCCTGAGCTCTTCAGCAGCAAGTCATCCCAGACCAAGCAAAACTAAGCAGGCTGCAACATTTAAGCAATGACTTGGATTAGAGGATTATCCGAAGCTATCAGTCCAGGACAGGATAATACATCTCACTCGGAAATGCTCTGACATGCTGGCTGTCCAGGGCTGGTTAGATCCTGCCAGGCTTCTTGTCAAAAACATTTACAATGTGTTTAACAAGATACTATAGCCCCAAAGTGCTTTTATTCTGGTGGACCACGTCCAAAATGGTGTTGGCTGTTCATGAAAATGCTTCCATTAAAGGTTTGTTGGCTCCATAGGTGCAGTTGCTCTATTTCAGTGATGCAGGCAGTCATGCAATAGAATAATGCAATAATTTAAATATTTGGGTATGCTGAATTCTAGTTGTTTGGAGCAGAGACAATATCTATTTATTTCTTGCTTATGCAAGCAACCAGCATTTATAATAAATAGTATCATAGAATTATAACCAAAGAAATAAATTCTCATTTTTAGTGCAAGACCTGTAGAACAAAAACAACAAAAGAAGAAAATTGCACCGGTCTCACAAAATCCAGATGCTGTAGTAGAAGTCCTGAACTTGTCTTTTACCATAGAGTTACATTCAAAATGCTAACACCTTGCTCCCACCCTTCCACAGACAGAGGTGCAGCAGAAACCACTGAAGCCCTTACAGGGCTGCTCTGATTGCATCCTTTCCAAGCAAGTGGAAGAGCCTTCACATTAAAAAGATGTGATGTAATCCAAAAGAGCTGATGTGAAGTTTAAAATTATTTTTACCCAAGTCTTGTCTAAATGGTGTCTAAATACTCACCACCCAAAGCAGAAGACAGCAAAGTATATTCCAAAAGAGGGTAGAAGGTGTCATGATTCTCCCTCAGAGGGAGAAGACTGATGGGTGCCAACTCATCAGTGACAATTCAGTGAACCTTAATCCCCCCATCCTGCTCCAGCTTGGGGTCACACTGGCACATCCAGTGCAGCTCAACTCTGTGGCATGCAGAGCTTCTCTGATCTGGAGTAAAGAAGGAAAGTGCAAAGACTCACAGAAACTGATGGAAGGAAAGTGCAAAGACTCACAGAAACTGGTGTGGTTGGTTGTTTGAAAGACAATACCCCCTCTGTGCAGTGCCACTCACAGAAACTTTACACCAGGAAAAGCCATCATGATAAGCAGGCATTTGCTTTTTACTTTCACTTGGCCCTTGTAAGCCCAGTTTGAGATGTTAAGGATGCTGGGATCTCAGAGGCTTACACACACAGAGCATAAGGAAAGTGCAAGAACCCAGAGCAGACACACTTGTAGCATTATTTAAACAGCTAAGGCAGGGAATGACAGTGGCAGCAGATAATGTGGCAGGGACTTAATCACAAGCAGCTCAGCAGCCTCACATACGTGTGCTCCTGCTTGCCTTGGCCTTTGAGTATGTGTTGCCTGTGCTACCAACCATGTCACACCTGCATTTTGTTGTGCAAATTAACCAAGACAATTAACCAAGACTCTGTGCTCTTTCTGCAAGGGTCGGTGCAAAGCCTTGTACCAGGCCAAAACATCACCCTTATGTTTCAATGAGGTTTTGGTTTCTAAGGGTTGTTCCTGCACAGCAGCCAAACATCACAGACCCAATGCACTCAGCAAGCAATAATCTGGCAATGGACCAGACTTGCTCTGTTCTACACTGTGGAGATTCTCAGTTCAGTCAAAGAGAATTCTCCCCAGCTTCAGGCCTGGGAAACTTACAGAGGAAGAATGAAAACAATTATTATCTCTCTTTCTGTTCAGGTTACTTATAGATATGTACCTTCAGAGTGTGCTATTCATAGTTCACCAATACCACACAAGGGAATAGAGGGATGCAGCAGCTTTTCATATAACCTCCTCTACTTAGTTATTTCTAGGTACCATCTTAAACACATGCAGTGTTCACATGCATGCACACAAAGGCTGACAGTTCATCTGACAGTGACTTTACTGCATTCCATTTGACATTAGTTTTATCCTTCATTCTACATACTTAAGGCATCCAAGTAAACAGATCCCTAAGAATTTAACAAATGTTGTGCTGCATCACAAGTGAACTAAGTCACACTTTCCTTCCTTTCCAAAGAGAAAAGGATTCATACTATTCCCTTTTGGTTATTTCCACTGTTGCTAAAAACATTTTATAAACAGAAAATTCAGGGCTTCTGAACACTGATGAATGGTGTCCAGGCAAAAACAACATGGAAATAAAAATTATATGCCAATTAACCTTTTACAGCATTGCAAGTCATTTGACACATGTTTGTAGCTAGCCACATCTCTTTGGTGTTGCCACCAAAATTTTGCACATCTGGTTTCAAGATTGCTAGCAGAAAGGAAACACCTTTGCTTTTTACAGTCACTTTCTTCCATGCTCTAGAGAATAAGTAATAAAATTAGGAATCAGAGCACATGATATGGTGCCAAAAGAAGACAGTATCTTCCTTTCATTTTCCATGATTAAACACTGGAAGACAGAAAGGCAGTCTCATCACAGTATTCTGCAAAGACATCTGGAAGACTTGTGTCTGAGTCACAGCCAGCTGGAGACAGCCTTGCAATACAGAAACAAGATATCCACACTTCTGGAGAGAGAGAAAATCTGGAACAGCTCCAGCGCAACCGAGTCGATCATTATTGTTGTCTGCTTAATTAATCCTTTAATTCTTGATTAGTCTCAACTTTAAAAGGCTTGATGGTTCCAGAGCAGGTATGAACAACAAAGGAAAAAAATAAACTGTAGTTCCTCCCTGTATTCTTTCAAATTCTGTAGTAGCAATAACTCAGCAGCAATGTTTAGATAGCAAATCTGAGTTTTACACAAAGTTAGCAATCAGGTCAAACCAACCCACCAAGCACCCATGATGTTGATGCAAGAATAGCCAAACACAGTGGTTTCAAGATCCCCCTATTGGACTGTGCTGCAATCCAATCCCTCAAAGCACATAAAAGGTCAGTCCCATCTGTCCTGAGCCTTTGTATCTTCTCCCATTTTTAACAGGATGAAACCTGGCAAACACTGGACTGGTGCTGTGTGAAGGGGAAGCACTAACTCCTAGGGATTTGGAGCCATCTTTTCAGTCATCTCCATCAACAGGCAGGGCCTTTCACGTAGCAAAGTCATCTCCTCAAATTCCTAACCACTCTCAGAGGAAATCCAAACCATTTTTTGCTCAGTATTTTATTTGATCCAATTAACCATTTGCAAGTGAGCACTTCTAAGGGCAAATGCTAGTTGGCAAATCACAATATAAAGGTTCCAAATACCTGGAGTTAAATAGGTGCATCTAAAAATTTCACCCTTTGCAGGATATGAGCCTGATGTCAATAACACTGAATAGGAGCAATTATCACTTTTTGCGTTGGGAGCAAACTGGCTCCATGGTGAAGGCTGAGGAGGAAAAAAGAAACCTCAAACAAAAGTAGTAAC